CTCTGGAGGTGCAAGACGATAAGGCACCTTCGCAATAGGCGCAGCCCCTGGAACTAGATCGATACCAAACTCCACTTGCCTCGCAGGAGGTACTCCCGGCAAATCCTCGGGAAAAACATCTGGAAACTCGCGCACCACTGGAACCTCCTTCAGTCTTCGGTCTCTCGGAAATCTCCCGCGTATCCATCACATACGCCACAAAACCGTTACATCCCCGTGTAGGCATTGCCTCGCCCTAGCGGCCGAACAAAAGCTGATCCCGAACGGGTACCCTCGCCGTATACCGTAAGAACTCCCCACTAGGGTCTCGTATAGTCACCAGCTGACGCTCGCAGTCGATGACAGCGCTGAATCGGCTCAACCAGTCCATGCCTACGATGACACAGACATCCCCCATCGCAATAGGAATTAGGTCAATCGGAAACGCGACCCCGAAGATCTCTAGCACACATCCCGAAGAACCTCCGTAGCACAAACCACCCTCTCAGCCGCAATAGAAACGCTCAAAGGCCGACTTAACGGCTCACGACTAATGCCGATGTGCTGACTAAAAGCTAACGATACAAACGATCTACTCGCACCCGAATCAAATAACACTAGAGCAGGCATAGAGTTCACAAGGAAAGTACCTACACATACATTAACATAAGCATAGCATTTCGACCTTTAAGTAAATACGTGAATGATAACATACCTGCCACAACATCGGGCGCAGCGCGGACCTCCTCCGCAGTCAGCTGAAAGGCTCTCCCGCGAGCCCTCGGGGCCTCGACCTTCGCCGGTCGGGTCTCAGTAGTCCTGGTAGTAGGTGTAGCTCCCTGACGAAGCTGCGGACACTCGGCCTTCCGATGGCCTGTCTGGTTGCAGTGAAAGCAAACCATAAACCCCTTAGGGCAATCCCTGGCAATATGTCCCTCCTTGCCACACTTGTAGCAACCACCAGCTCGACACACCCCCTCGTGACTCCTGCCGCACTTCACGCAAGTGCGACCCTTCGGACCTCCCATCCTCGAATCAGCGAACTTAGTCCGCTTGGCTGCCGGCTGAGACTGAGCCGGCCGTCGATCCACCTGCCGAGACTCAGCCTCCTCCCTCGCCTGAGTCTCCAACTCGATCTCGCGCTTCCTGGCGTTCGCCTGAAGCTCAGTGAAAGTACGATAGGTGGAGTTTGACACAAACTCCCGGATCTCCCTCTTCAAAACGCCCAAATACCGGCTCATCCGCGACTGCTCGTAGATACCAGCTCAGGCAGAACATTGCCCTCTCATGAAACTTCCGCGTGATCACTGCCACGGAATCAGTACCCTGCTTAAGGGTCAAGAACTCCTGAATCAATCGCTCCCTCTCCACCGGGGGAACGTACTCGTCCCTGAACATCTCCGTAAACCTCTCCCATGTCACCGCTGAAATCTCTGCCTGAGTGAAGTTCGCCGTCACGAACTTCCACCAATCCTTCGCTCCCAGACGGAGCTGGTTCAAGGCGAACCGTACCCTCAAGTGCTCCGGGCATGAGCAAGTATAGAAGCACCCCTCGATGTCGGCGATCCACCTCATAGCCGCAATCGGATCCTGCGTCCCATCAAATTCAGGGGGTTTCGTGTTGCTGAATTCCCTGAATAGTAATGAATCACCCCCTTGCGGCCTAGCAGCAGCCACAGCTGCGGTAGCGGCAGCGACTGCAGCTTCAGTAAGTGCGGCGTACCGCTCCTCAAACTCCTCCATCAGAGTGGTCTTAATAGACCCAAACATCTCCGGGATCTCAGCCCGAACCGCCGCAGCTACCTCTTCCTGAATAATCTGACGAATCTCCTCGTCACTCGCACCGCTCGAACTCGCCCCATTGCGTGTGATGACCATGATGTCTCTGAAATACAACATAAAATCATCAGAGACTCCACCAAGTACAATTGTACTCGATACGCGCCCTACTCAGTCTCCGATTTCCAGGGATTCTTACTTGGGTCTTCCACTGATCCGGTGTCTTCGGTAGTACGGGCCCAATACTACCGACCACACCGTATCAGTATTCGTCCCAAATCTTCCTCCCCAAATCCCGAATAATGAGTACTCTACCTCTAGTATGCACTATCTACTTGCACGCTACCAAATATCTCATATAAGCAATCTCCCTAGACAAGGCATCACAAAACAGGCCATTCTAGTCCTATCATGTATACCTAGTCTTCTAGCATGCATAACAATTCATAATTCAGTGCATAATATAACATTGTAAGGTATTCTGGGGATCTTTACCGTTCGGGCGCTGGCTGATCGTACACACTGCTCCATTCTTGTTTTACCGCCTTACCATTTATGAAATGTTGTGTCCTTATTATTTAAAAAGGTTTTTCCTCAAATCCCCGGTCTGAGTTCAGTTGCACCCGAAAGTACACCCGAATCCCTCAAACCAAGGCTCTGATACCAATTGTAACAGCTCAAATTTTCAAATAAATTTTTCATTTAAAATAAAACATCATTATTCGACAAAAGAGTTTATTCCAAGTTTATTGCAAAAGTATAAATAATAATCCTCAAGATCTTCAACAATGGCAGTGTGTACGTGTCACGCCGGCGCCTTCCCACGGTCATCGCTAGTACCTGAAAAACATAAACACAACTAGTAAGCATAAATGCTTAGTGAGTTCCCCAGTATACGACTTACCCACATACGCCTTCCGGCCCGGACCTTTCGGTCCACATAACATTGCCTTCCGGCCCGTAACATAATCGCCTTCCGGCCCATAACATATCGCCTTCCGGCCCGTATTCATTGCCTTCCGGCCCATAGTATTTTGCCTTCCGGCCCATAATAGTATAAAACATAACACATATAACATATCACACATAACACATAAGTCATACATCATACCGTTCTTTCTATCACATAAAGTCTCGCCTTCCGGCCCGTATAAGCATACATCACATATAAAGCATCTACCTCTCTAGACATAGCATAAATATAACACATACGACCTTCCGGTCACGCAGTCAAACCCTTCCGGGTGAAGTATAGTGAGAAGACTCACCTCGTAGTATGCAAGCTATAAACCCTTCGAGCTACTCGCACTCGATCCGCTAATCTGCAGGCTCCCTATAATACCACATACCTTTATTAATGATCTTATCAAACAAGACAACTGACCCTACTAAATTACATACAGGTCAACGGTCAACTTGACCGGACTCGTCGAGTGCAAAGGCAACTCGGCGAGTCTAGACACCCCGACTCCACTCGCCGAGTCTAAAGAACGACTCGACGAGTTCCAGTAGGTCTTCAAGCTACTCGCCGAGTCTGAAGAACAACTCGGCGAGTCCTAGTGAATCTTCAAGCTACTCGCCGAGTCTGATCATTGGACTCGGCGAGTCCTCGCCATGCAATCAATCAACTGCCTCCTGTACTTCGCATGATTCCATAATATATAGATATGGGGCTTCCTGGACCTTCACATATACTATTACAGGGGTTTAAACACTTGTAACAACACTATAATCTATCAAATCCTTAAATGGGTTTCCTAAACCCTAGATTCGCATACAACGTAAAAGCTACAGATATGATCCGAAGATTACCTGGAAACGTGTTCCCTGTGTCCCCAACTTTCAGAACTCGACCCCTTGAACCTCCTTTGATCACCACCTTGCCTCTCCTTGTCTAACAACCTCTTCAAGCTTCCCCTAGCCCACACCCTTGCTCCAGATGCCCACAGACTCCTGAGTTATCTTCAATCGGCCAAAAGACGAGACATGACGGCCCTAAAGACATTATATACGATTCAGAATCAAAACGGCTAGGGTTTCAGCTGAACAGCGTCGACTCGCCGAGTCCCGTCGCGAATCTGTGACCAAGACCGTGGTCCTACTCGGCGAGTCAGGCACCAACTCGCCGAGTCCCCTCCTAAATATGCCCCAAAAATAATTTAAAGAAATACCTGAAATTCCGGCTGTTACAATATACCCGCCCATATGACAACTTTACCATAATTACAAGTATGGTCCTTCCCCATGGGATCTTGTCATTTTTAATCCATTATTTACCCTTTTACCCCTGATTCTATGATTTCCTTTCATAATAAATCCCTAACTTACCAATAAACCCTTAAGCCTTCAAATATTTTCAATTTAAGTCCCGAACGAACACTTTTAACCCTTGACTTTTAAAATTCTTCACCAATTTGCCTAGGACTTACCTTTATTAATTTATTTAAATAAATGGGGCGTTACAACTCTCCCCCACTTGAATTATATAACGTATGACTATTTTGAAAACAAATTGTAATAACTGAATGGTTTTGAATGATTTAAAAAGTTTTAAATTGGCTGTCATTTTATGGATGTTAGAGATATGAAATGTGCTATGAATCTGACTGAGTTCATTTGGAAGATCCAAACGATACGTAACCCTGCCCACACGGGCTATAACCTTGAAAGGACTAATATACCTGGGGCCCAACTACCCCGCTTCCTGAATCGGATGGCACCTTTCCAAGGTAACCCCTTCAAGAGAACCATATCCCCAACCTGGAACTCCAGAGCTGATCATCACTTGTCGGCGTATTTCTTCTGCCGACTCTGAGATGTCTGGAGTCTACTCTGAACCGGCTGACAACTCGGTAGTTTTGAGTACCACTTCGGTACTCCCCATAACTCGCTGACCGACCTTACCCTAACATATTGGGGTTATGCATTTCCTCCCATAAAGCATCTCAAAAGGAGGTCTATTAATGCTGGCATCTTCGACACCATTCTTACACCAAGCCAGTACGCCTCTCTGGAAATGAGTTTATACTGCATCGCAACATCAAGAAGAGCTTTCAGAAACCGTAAACAACTCCTAGTTATGAACACACTTAGAACTTTTTGCTTAGGTGTCTTTGTTCTTTAACGCCTTCCATGGAGGAGGGTCTGGATCTCTCCAAAAAAACAATGATGATAGCTTGTAGAAACAGAAACAATATAGTCCAGAGCTTATCAAAGCTTCTAAACAGGTTCCAAAAGGATCTCTACTCCACAAAACATGTCTTCCCTACCCTCTTCCCTTTGGTTGTTTTTGTGAAGAAATTTCTCCCAATATCTATAGGCCACTTTAATTTCTCGAAACACCATCTGCTCCAGAAGTACTCATTTATATCATCGTAATTCTGCCAATCTAAATGTGGTGTTGTGTCGTTCTTATTGTTCGCTATCTCGGCCTTAACAATATCGTAAATTGGTTTAACAATGCTATTCAGGAATGCATTTTCCCCATAAATTGAGGGAAAAACAGGCCTACCTGTGTTCTCATTGATGTAATATCCTAGAATTTTGTTCAGCTCCTCAGCCATATGAGACAATATATAACAAATACACTCAGGTATAAAGCGTAGATTTGCGTACTCACCCCAAACAAGTAGATAAAGTAAAACATATAGAAGCTCACGAAGGTGGTCGGAGGCGAAGAATTAACGGGGGGAGTCAGAGATCTAGATGTTAGATTTATGGCCGAGGAAGGAGCACCAGTGGGTGTAGTTACTGAGTAACTTACGAAGAAAGTGGCGTAGTACGAAGGGTTCGAGAGTATCAATATTGTCTGGCGGTGGCTGGAGCCACATCTGGGCGTTGGCGAGATGTAGCATGAGGTGTTCTTATTGGTTTGAAACGTTGTCCGATTGGAAACCAAAGAAGGCATCAAGCCAATTGAGGAGGTCGTAGTGAGGCTGCCATGGAATGAAGGGCGGTCTGCCTAGGTCACCAACAACCTGTAGAGCAGCGGTGATGGCACGAACTTCTGGGAAACGGAGGGACGGGTGATCTGCTAGTAAATTGTTGATTGGGATTATGTTGTAAGGAGATTCATCATAAAGATTGGTTGTACACTTTTGACATCTAACTTTAGTTGTTGTCGACTTTCTCCCCTGTTTGTGGTGATTTACAATTTCAGCACATATCTTTTAAAGTTTGCCGATTTCTCCCGTATTACCCCAAAAACGGTGTAGCCTACTAGATGTATATTAAGAATGAGGTAAGCTTAATTATGATATCATCTCTATTTAAGGTATCTTGAAATGTCGAAGAATATACAATGAATATGACGGTAGATTTAATAGATTAGATTTATTCATATATAATGTTTGATTTCATTGACATTTGACTTGATCATCATATTTAAATATATAAATGATGTTTTATTGTTTAGGTTCGTTTTGTCGACTAGTATAAACTTGATTACATAATAAGGTAGGTTATTGTTTCTATGCATTATATTTGTGAAAAGTATTTAAATCATAGGTTCAAGTCATGGTTTAGAAGGTTCAAAGTTATAAATGATATTTAGAAGTAGATTTGGATAGTTCCATTTAAATAAAATTAAAAATAAAAATAAAAATAATCTTCATTATTTACATATATCAAATTATTGATAGATACTAGGCAAATAGTGTATCCATATTATGTAGTGATTGTTTTTTTTTTTTTTTTTTTTTTTCTGTCCTATCTTATTCTTTTAAGTTGTGGTTTAATAATATTTAAAAAAATAATAATAATAATAATCACAAAAATGCTAAGATGAGACGATTTTTTTTGCTGTAACTACAAAATGACCTTGGTTATTGTAAATTGTGAAATATAATCATTCGTTATATAGGTTATTTTTGTGATTAGCCGTCTAAAAATAAATAATTTTTATTTAGGGAACTCTCCAGAAAAATCCTAAAATTTTAGTACAATTTATGAAAAAGTTTCAAACTAAATTTTATTTACAGAAAAACACAGAATACCGGTTAAAACTTCGAAAAAACCATTTCCGATCGATTTCACAGATTTTACCGATATTCTGTCATTTTCGTTAGTTTGCTCAAAATTTTGGGATTTTTCCAAAAATTACATAATAACCAAAATATTGTGATTTTTTTTTTTAAAATTACCATGAAATTAATGGATATTATTATTAACAAATCATTTATAAACATAAAAAATATTTTTATTATAAAAAAGGAAATACATTTATTGCTAAATTCTATGAATAAATTGGTGGTCTAAGTACTCCTCTATTGCTTCCTGACCACTCAAACCTTCTACGTTATTCCTATGCCTTTTTGTGGGTATGATGGTGAGATGAATTTAGTTAACATTCCTCTAATGTTGGTGTTCTTCTTATATTGTTTAACCTAACTACCAACCAACATTCATACCTTACATGTTAACAACCATTGGCTAACACACATCTATAAAATTAGAAAAGTGAACCGTGAATGATAATTTATATGGAAACAAGTGAATGTTGATTATCTATCTAAATTGTTATTCAAAGTTTATTTTTCACTATCGATAGATGTGTCTAATTTTATGGTTGTTACCGGGTAATGTTTGGAGGTTAGGTGGTAGTTAGGTTAAAGAACATAATAAAAGATCTATATGTTCGTGTAATGATATTTTTTAATAACACGTGATCATATAGCATCATGCCTAATAACAAGTAGATACTTATTGATTGTGTATTAATAAATATTATCAACTATTGTATTGGTCAAGCCTAACAAAGTATTTTTTACTATGACACCCACTACGATACATACGAAGAACATAAAGCTTTGAAGTGGTCAACAAACAATAGAGAAGTACATAATTGACCATTCTATTCATAGAAATTAGCAACAAATATATTTCCTTTATTTATAATAAAAAATATTTTTTATGTTTATAAATGACTTGTTAATAATAATATCCATTAATTTCATAGTAATTTTCAAAAAAGTTCCAATATTTTAGTTATCAGGTAATTTTCATAAAAGTCATAATATTTTGAGCAAACTAACGAAAAATGACAGAATACCGGCTAAATCTACGAAACCGGTCAAAAAGGGTTTTTTTCGAAGTTTTAACCGGCATTCTATGCTTTTCTGTAAAGAAAAATTAGTTCACGATTTTTTTCATAAATTAAACTAAAATTTTAAGATTTTTCTGAAGATTTTTCTTTTATTTATAATCATTTTGTAATTATCAATTATTATCCTTATAAAAATGTGGGTAACTCATCCGTCCAGACTTGTCAAACATATCAACAAGTTGACTCAGTACGCTTGTTCACGACGTTCATGTATCGATAAAATAGAAAAAAAATGCGAAAAGTCTCTTTGATTCGTCAATTTTTTGGTTGGTTAAATTTCAAAGAAAATTCATTTTATTTAGTTTATTTATGTCATTGGTCCTTATCAAAATTGGAACACTGTTTCACCACGCATATATTTATTTTTTAATTTTCTTTTTTTGTTCTTTAATATTTTAATATTTAATTAATATACAATGGATCCATAACCTCATCCCACCTCTCTCTATCTATCCATGTATCTCTCTCCTCACCTTACAACTCTTCTCTACCTTCATTTTTCTTAAAGTTTTCCCCACTATAAGTTGATTTCCTAGAGCTCTAACAAGATGTCAAGATCCCACAACCTACAATTTTCAAACACAAGTTGATGGTTGAAGATGCACACATATAAAGAAATATTATATATATAAATGTTAAACTAAAAATCCTACTATATTTTATTCTTATTATCCTCCTACCCACATTAAATGGTAACAAGTGGACTAAAATACTATCAAATTTCATTAAATGTATCATTAAATATGACACATGTCAACATTTAATATGGTACGATGATAAGTAGAAATAAAATGTAAGAATATATTTAATTTCTTTAAAATATAAATAAGAAATTAAATAGTTTCCTACTTTTTGTGTAAACACATTTAATAGCAATTGATCAAAATATTAGCTGAGAAATGAGATTAATATGTTAATTAATCCTTCTAGTGTAGTTTAGGAAGGATGCAAACTAATAACTTAATAACCAAAATAAAATACCGCTAATTATTAAATAGTTTCAAAGATCAAGTACAATCATGAATATTTCCACTTTGACTTCTACGGTAGTTCAAGAAGGTTGTGACTTGTGAACTAATAATTTAATAACCAAAATTAAATACTGTTGATTATGGAATAATTTCAAAGAACAAGTGCATTTAGTTATACAATAAATATTTCCATTTTGTCATTCTTCATCGGATCATCACAGTGTTATACGAATTCCAGTAGTAGCGTATTAACAAAGAAAAGTGATCAAATTATTGTGAAGTTATGTCTTATATTTTTTGTAGAATTTTGATTGTGTAGATCAAAGTAGAGCATATTCATGATTTTATTTCTGATAGTGTGGATGTATGGAGGTTCAATCATTTTAGGGGCTCTAAGCAAGTCAAAAATTTGGAGCCCTTTAACCTTTACTATACTTGGAAATCAAAAATAGATGAGATGAATAAGTCGCAAAAAATAGAATCGGTAGAAGAATGCAATGTCGTTTCAGTTTCATGAATGCAACGATCATTGATTTATTCTTCCGCTTCATTTATTTTGTGGTTACCGGATTGGATTTTATAATGGAATAAACTTTTGGATTTTGGAAAATATAAGGCCCCTTAAAATTGGGGGCCCTAAGTCCTAACTTAAAAAACTTCTACATCGAGCCGGCCCTATGTAGATGGTATGGTCGATAATTAGAACACACACTAATCAAAATCCAAGACAATACATAACTCATATCTTTTAAACACTACCGAAAATCTTAATCTCTCCATGGCAATTAAACATTCATATGGAAGGATCTGATGTAGCATCATAGCAATTTAGGGGTGTGCAAAAAACCGCACAAAGCGTCCACACCGCACCGTATAATACGGTTTAAAATTTCGTAGTGCGGTTTGTGGTTCATCTTTTTATCAAACCGCACTATGCGGTGTGGTTTGCGGTTTGTATTTATAAAACTGCGGTTCAAACCGCACCGCACTACATGTTATATATATATATATATATATATATATATATATATATATATATATATATATATATATATATACATACATACATACTTTTTTTTCTTTACTTTGTTATAACTTCAAATCGCGATTTAGAAACGATGTATATAAATATATTTCTTACAATAACCAAATATCTATAACGTAACATTAAATTACTATTGGATCAAGATTTCACGGTTTACTATACAAGGTAATATCAAACAATAACAATGATACTTACAAAACTATAGTAGCATAAATCAATTTATTAAAAACGATTTAACTGGAAATTGTATTTGTTTTTATAAAATGAAAGCAATCAATCTTTTTAACCCGGTTAGTATTTTGGTTTTTTGATAGATTTATTGTTGAACAACTCATCAAACCGCAACCAAACCGCATAAACCGCCCGCATCAAACCGCACACATAACGCGGTTTTAAACATCTGTGGTACGGTTTGCGGTTTCTAAAATATTCAAACCGCATATG